CCTTTCGTTCCTGAACATACCGTGCCATTGGCACAAGTAAACATTTCTGGAATTGCTAATGCCCGAAGAAGGAGAGGCAATCCTGTGATGACAAACCTGAGCTCGGCTGCAAACTCTTCAGGAGAAATGGCGTCAAAAACATCGTCAATCCTTTCATACTGCTTGTAAGGATGTTGCCTCCCATCGTTGTGATTTCATAAATCGCAAAGGAGGTAAACGGATGCTAATAGGATAGTTTTTTTGGCTAAACATGGCGAGATTGTTACAGTAAAACCCTCGCACTCGGATCGATACATTTGTTTAGAATCTAAAGTTACAATTTTCGTCAGCACGACTACGAGTACGAGATACTAGTGCCAGATCTCGCGCGGTTAAAACTCGTACTCGTACTCGTTCTCGCACTCGAATCTAAAGCTCTCTACTATAAGAACTTCTATAAGTGATAATCAGTGGACAAGGAAGGGTTGTGCAGTAAAACTCCCACCCCTCTATGCTTCATTGGCAGGAATTAGCATTAAGGGGGCTTAATACCCCCCTACCTTACCTATATAGGTACGATTTACCCTAAGGAGTATGGATTTTTGATCGGTCTTGGCCTAAACCTTATCTCCCCTCGAGCTCTAAATGAATACATACATACAGACATAGGTTAATTGACCACTCCCCATAGGGCTTTTCAGGGCCAATTAAGGTTGAGATCGGACGTCAGCATTATAAGGCGGCTCAGTAACGAGGTCTCACCTTCCCACCCATCCCCGAGGAGGACATCCACCATACAGTAATCTCGTGCGTGGGAAATTAACGTCTCTTACCCCTAACCCTGCAGGAGACGGGGCCTACGGTTTATTTGGTCCTTATCCGAGAAGACTAGAATAGTCTATCCATTCCTTGATATTATAGAAAGGTAGCAAATTCTCCTCAGTTATTTTAAGACCATGAGTAGTGGTCCGGCCGGGGCTCGAACCCTCGACCTCGCGCACAACACAATCCGGCGCTCTAACCAATTGAGCCAACCGGGAGGCGGAAGAAAAGCTACCAAAATATACTCTTCGATCTTAATTTTTCGTTGAATTCAGCCATTTCCTCTCTTGGACGCTGATGTGAAGCCTAATATTGCTACAACAAGGCACAACGATTTGCAAATGACGTACAGCTTTGGAAAGCTAGGTCTGATAACGTGTATGGATTTTAAGGGCCAGTATTGAAAACGTGCGTGGTAAATATCATCTTTTGGTTTAAAGAAGGGTCAGGATTAGGAGAAACAGACGGCATACTCCTGTAGTGTCTTTAGAAACTTAACCCCTTCATTCATTTCCCTCTTTTAGTTTGGGTGACGTCTTTGACGTGAAGTTTGTGGTGTGATATTTAGATGTGATTTTATGATTTTTGTTGTATGTTTTAGTGCAATGACAAGGTAGAGCTTTGCACGGATCACTTTCGAAAAAGTGTGAAGATGAGCACGTATCTGGTAGCATTTATCGTTTGCGATTTTAAGAATATAACGAAGGAAACTTCAAAAGGAGTGAAGGTAAGCTACAATTCAGTCTACTTGAATGTGGAACGTGTCCACAAAAAGGTAAAGAATAGATGAGACCTAACATATTACGACATGATAAAATAATCTCTTACATGATTCTACAACTCACTTATCCTATTGATAAACGTGTTTCACTTAGGTCAGTGTGTGGGCTCCACCAGAGCAGATTGATCGAGGTCAATTTGCTTTAAATGTTGCTGTAGAGGTTCTGGAGTATTATGAAACGATATTCAAGGTGGACTATCCACTTCCAAAGCAAGGTATTTACAACTCATGTAGGTATTGGAGTAAGAGCAACATATGAAGCACGATACAGAGTTTTTGCGGTAATTTATGAGTGCTTAAAGATTCAGGGTTATTTATTTTGATTCCAACCGTGTGATTCAAGTCTTCAGGGAGTGTGGTAAAGTCTACCCTTTCTCGAACGCTCTAAAAGCCTTAATAACTAGGAAACATAGACTGATTTTTTTACTAAAGTATTGAAATATTAAATGAGAAAAAAATTTTCTTGTTCTTCTGTAATAGATCTTGTAGCTATTCCTGACTTTGCCGCTGGTGCCATGGAGAACTGGGGTTTGATCACATATCGTTTAACATCTCTGTTATACGAGCAGAACAAATCTTCAGATTCAAACAAGGAAAGAGTGGCTGTAGTTGTTGCACACGAACTTGCTCATCAGGTTCGTGTGTTGAGATAAAAATTTTTTACGCGATTGATCAAACTTCTTTATTGCGCGTGTTGTCTTCTTGGTTCAGTTATTGGTTCTGGTGTACCTAATCTATTGACGGTAGTTATTTTCCTTTTTTTAACACGTTTATCACGTTATTTTTCAACTTACAGTGGTTTGGTAATTTGGTAACTATGGAATGGTGGAATGACCTCTGGCTTAACGAAGGATTTGCCAGTTTCATGCAATTTATGGGAGTAAACCACACCCAACCAGACTGGAAAATGATGGAACTATCCATTTATGAGAACTTCCAGGGAGCAATGAGTGAGGATCAGCTCAGTAACTCTCACCCAATAATGGCTGAAGTGAAAGACCCAGCGCAAATTAATGCTCTCTTTGATTCCATTTCTTACGATAAGGTTAGCAGAACGCTCTGAAATTGATAAATTAAAAACCCGGCTAGGGTAATTTATCTCAGCAAGCTCTCTAACTTACATACAGAGGCTTGCATAACTGTTGCGTGTTTAGCAACACTAAAACGGTCTCGTTATATTTCAGGCAATGAAAATTAACGTAATTGGGTGTTAAAAATATCGTTTTTTCGGCAGTGTGAGAAACAAATCGATCTGATTCCTTGGTGAGAAGAAATCATTTCCCGTTCAGCGGTTGATTGCTCTTCCATGACGCTGTCACAAGAAAATCAGGGGCAATTATCTTTAGTTAGCGTGTATAAACTTTTCATTCACAAATTGTTGTTTCTTCAGGGCGCAGCTATAATCAGAATGTTAGAAGATGTCCTGCGAAGCGAAGTTTTCTTCCAAGGATTACAAAAATATCTGAAGAAATACAGCTTTAGCAACGCACAGACAAATGATCTTTGGCGGAGTCTTACTCAGGTAATGATCATGAGACAGGTGAAGTGATCTCACCTACGAACTGTTACAGATACAATGAATATATGAACTTCATGTATCCATTGTATCAGATACAATGAATATATGAACTTCATATATCCATTGTATCACATACAATCAATATATGAACTTCATATATTTTGAACTGCGGTATTAGATACGTATGATGTTACAGTCATTGTAAACGTTGGCCTGCGTCCACATGTGGAAATAACCGTACTTGGTATGTAATAAGGTAATTTGATTTTATCAACTAAGTTGAAATTGTACATTGGACACCGTAAAGAGTCGAAAAGCTGACGTTTCGAGCGCTAGCCCTTCGTCAGAGCGAAATGTCAGCTTTTTAACTCTTTACAGTGGCCAATTTACAATTTCAACGTAGCTGATAAAAACAAATTACCTTGTTACTCCCACCGACGCAGCACCACAGTTTCTTTAGAAAATTACCCCCCTTTATTCATTAGTATGTGATAACTTCCGTTCTGAAACTAAGCCTGTTAGCTTATTTCTTATTGCAGTTCTTATCTCAGCATTTGAGAGGAAAAGGTGGATTGTCCGTTTACTTAACTCGAAAATGTCTCTACCTATATTAAAATGGATGAATATCGCTTAATTGCCAGAGGGGCAGTTAACCCACTCGTGATTTTTAATCAGTTTATCGGTGCGAGCATTGATGACGTTGATGAGCGCTCATGTAACAAGGCAGCGCGGATTTTCCCAGTAAACACGCTAGTTTTAAGGCTGGTTTATACGCCCTCGGTCGCGGAATTTTACATGGATCCTGGGGATTGCAAAGATTATTATATGGAGAACGCCAGACCTTTGAATTGAAAATGATCTAACTAAGAGGTTGCAAAGATGTTTTGAAGGATTGAACCGAGGATAACATGAGGATACTTAGTCGTAGCACTACAGATAGAAACCAATGCAATTCGTAGACCACACCTTGTTCGCTCCCAATCCGGTATAAACAATATTCTACTGTCTTGAAGATCTTGTCTGCGTTCTTTTCATCAGGAATCTAGCGATTAAAAGTAATATAGCAGATAGTGGATATTAAATATGATATTCTTGGACAGGATGGGCTCAACGTCACAGAAATGATGACATCATGGACAAGTCAAATGGGTTTCCCTGTTGTTACCGTCAGGAGAAATAAAACTGTACTGTACACAGAACAGCAACACTTTCTTATACATAGTAGCGATAAAAAGCCAACAACTTCACCTGACAGTCGGTAGGTGTGAAGACTTGTTAAGTTTTTGTTGGTACCAGAAACAAAGTAAGGAGGGCCCCAGTTGGCGAAGTGACGAGGCCTGTGTTAGATTCCTAGTTTTTACTTTGCTTTAGTTTGTTGTTAGTACTCTCGTCCTTGGTTTTAGAGTTCCTTCGCGTTCTTCCGTTTTCTTCTCTCAAGTTTAGGCTGGGGATGGTTTCTTTTCTTTACAACCTGTTGTCTTTTATTTTTACAGACCAATGTGGGTAGTTCCCTTAACTTACATTACGCAGCAATCTAAAAAGAGGAAATTGGTTTGGATGAGGGAGAGAACGAAGGAAGGTAACCAATCTATTGACTGAGATTTACAAATTTCTCCGCCCACTTGCACTATACATAGGTAGTATACTTCGGGGTGGAGAAGGGGCTTATTACAGTAGAGTGAACTGTGAAACTCAATTGACCGTGTGCAGTGCTGGAACCAGGACTTTTTATATCCAGAATAAACAAACAAACTATTGATGCCAAAACGGATAAAATATCTTTTTCAACATGCTCTCAAAGCTCCTTAACCAGTTTTCTTATTTACTCCAAGTGTCTAAGACATTTTACATAGAGGGTTGTATAACTTTTAAAGTAGTTTGAAAGTGTTACACTTTTCCTGCGTAATGTGAAAGACAGTATGTAAATTTAACCAATTAATATCTTCGTTCTTGGTTTGACTTATTGCAGTTAATCTTAGCACGAAATTCAATGATAAGGACTGGATAAAAATGAATGCTGGACAAACTGGATTCTATCGTGTGAATTATGGAAAAGAAAACTGGGACAAACTAGTTCGTCAGTTTCATACTGACCACAAGGTAATACTCGTCACTTGCGAGATTTATTTCATTTGAGGTAGATTGATTAAATTTCACGTGTCTTTCCATGTTGGAGATGTAGTCACTGATTTAACCAGTCAAGTGATAGAAGAGATTAGTTTTGCCGCCAATGAAGTATATTTATTTGTACAAAAGAAAAGGCCAGTCATGTGACAATCACAGGAGATCTCCTTCCTGTCAATAGCCGGCAAGATACTCTCTCCAGTGTTCCTCGACCGTCTCCTCCAGTATCTCGAAACTGGTCTGCTTCCAGAAAGTCAGTGTGGATTCTGAGCTTAACGTGTAACCGCCGACATGATATTCGTAGCACGCTAACCGTTCAAGAGAAATGCCTAGAGCAGTTCAGCGACCTTTACATGATCTTTGTAGATCTTTCAAAGGCCTTTGACACTGTCAGCAGAGAGGGCCTGTGGCGAATCGTGAAGAAATTTGGCTGCTCAGACAAATTCACCACTATGGTTCGACAGTTTCATGATGGCATGATGGTAAAAGTCCTCGACGATGGTGAAGAGTCCAAGCCTTCTCCAGTCTCGAACGGTGTGAAACAGGGCTGTGAACTTGCCCTAACGCTCTTCAGCAATGTTGCTAGATGCCTTTCAAGACCACACGGAAGAAGGCATTCCAAAGGTACAGGACTGATGGAGCACTGTTCAAGCTTAGCCGCCTTAAAGCTGTAAAAACAATTCCACAAGACTGTTGTTAGGGACCTCTTGTTTGCCGACGACTGCGCTTTGAATGCGAAAACTGAGGGAAAGATGCAACACCAGGTAAATGTCTGCTCTAGGACATGTGATAATTTTGGACTCACTGTCAGCGTGAAGAAAACTGAAGTCCCTTTCCAGCCAGAACCAGGCAAACAGTATGAAGAACCAATTGTCTCCGTTTAAGACCAGAAACTACCCGCTGTTGAAAACTTCACCCGCCTAGGGAGCACACTTTTGCAAAAAGCAGATATAGACACAGAGATCAACAACAGAATTGCCAAAGCCAGTGCATCATTCGGGAGACTTAGGAAAAGTGTGTGGAATCGCAGAGGACTAAGCCTCAACAGCAAACTCAAGGTCAACAGTGTAATGGTCCTTACCACACTCCTCTCTGCCAGCGAGACTTAGACAGTTTATAAGCGCCGTGCAAGATAACAAAACTACTTCCACAGGATAATTTGGTCATATCAACTAAGTTGAAATTGTAAGTTGACCACCGTAAAGAGTTAAAAAGATGACGTTTCGAGCGTTAGCCCTTCGTCAGAGCAAATGACGAAAGGCTAACGCTCGAAACGTCAGCTTTTTAACTCTTTACCGTGGCCAAGTTACAATTTCAACTTAGTTGATATAACCAAATTACCTTGTTACCCCTACCGACGCAGCACCACAGTTTCTTTAAAACTTTTGGCATGAGGTGCCTCCGAAAACTTCTGCACATCACATGGCAGGACAAGATCCCTAATACAGAGGTTCTTGAACGCGCCGGGCCTCTAAGCGTCTACACCTTGCTCCTGAAAGCTCTACCAAGATGGGTTGGTCATGATGTCAGAATGCCTGACAATCGACTGCTAAAACAGTTTCTCCACGGTGAACTATGAGAAGGAAAGCGCAAATTTGGCGGTCAAAAGAAGAGCTATCAAGACTCTCTTAAAGTCACCCTCAAAGAATTCAACGTTAATGTTGAAAATTGGGAAGCCCTTGCAGCTGACCGTCCCGCCTGGCGCAGTGCAGTATCATCTGGTGCACGTTTTTCTGAAAACAAGCGGATTCAAGAGTCCAAAAAAAATAGCCATTCGTAAGGCGCGAGTAGCGTCTGCAGCCAGTACAGTACCAACCCGTCCCTGTCTAGCATGTGGACGCTTCTTCAAGTCAAGGGCAGGCCTCTCGAGGCGTCTTCCTAAGTATAGACATTGACTTTTTGAAGTGTCAGGGTGATTGTCGAATACGACAGACGAACAACATATTTGTGGAAAACAGCGATGGAAAATGAAATGAAAAATGCTACCTTCGCAAGAAAAATAAAAAAAATAAAAAAACCGTATAGATTTGATACAAAATCACCAACCCAGTTTCACTCGAACAAACCTGCCCCTTATAAGTGGTGTCAGTTAGCTCTTATGCGTAATTAAATATGCTTTTTAGTGAAGTGCGGTTGTTGTATTTCGCTCAGGTATTGAGTGCCGTGGACCGCTCAGGTCTGTTAGACGATGCTTTGAATCTTGCTCGGTAAATAACCATTTTTTTTTTCATTGCTCGTGTCTTTATGTTTCTAAGTTATTGTCGACTAGTTAGGAGAAGAGTATTTTAATCAGAAATAAGGAGGTCAGTTGCTATGGTAACCTAACCAAGGTTAATCCCAAGGATAAAAAGACATTAGCGCGTGGAATGAATACCTCGAGGCCAAAAGTACAAATTAGGTTAGGAGATGGGGAAAAGGGGAGTAAGCTACAAAGGTACAAGCATACTGAATAAACTGGTATCTGCCTCTTATGCGCCCGCTATATTGGTATAAAGCGAAACATGATGTTCTTCAGTGATTTCACAGGGTGTGAAAATTCTAATATTTCCCTTTTTTTCTCATGTTCACCGCTAGGAGTGGCCTGTTGGATTATGAAGTGGCCCTAAGTCTCACTTCGTATCTAACAAAAGAAAGAGAATATGTCCCGTGGATGTCGGCGCTTGATAACATGGGTTACTTTGCAACACAATTTTCCACTTACGACTCTCTGATGAATGGATCAACAGATTACTATCCCACGTATAAGGTGATAGAAATTATACACATTATATTTTTTGGCAACCGTTCTGTGTGAGTTTTAATGTTTTGTAATAATTTCATTTCTAAAGGGCTATCTCCAGAACCTATGCTAGGTAATAAATGAATGCATGTTTGTAACCAACCTGTTTATAGGAGAGTTATTTTGACTGAACATACCCCGAGCAGACAGTGATTCCAATACCTCAAATAACAAATGACGTGGTTAAAAATCAGCTGAAAGAGGGCAGACCAGTTGGTTACCAATTGAGAGCAGTCGAGGAGGTAAACTCGGAACAACCGAGAACAAATCCAGTGAGTGGCAGGTCGGAACAGACTTGAACCATGGATCATCAGATTTAGCTGCGCTGTACTGTAAGCACTGTAACGTCTCCACTATGTCAGCAGACAGTTACATTGGAATATTTTGTCATTCTTTAGAAATATGTCTCGTACCTGCTTCGTAGTATCGCTGCTGAATTAAGCTGGAAAGAAAGAAAAGAAGATCCACATTTGACAAGGTGTGATGCGTTGTACTTAGTTTGTGTCACGGTGTTGTCCTCAATCCGAGAAACGTTTTTCTCTTCCATCTACAGAAATATCGCAAAGCTATGGTAAATATGTTTACCATAGCAGGAGGTGACTGAATCAAAGAATTGTATCGATAAGCTTTTTCGTGGTACCTTTATTATCGTAGATATCTTCGACCTGTTCTGTTGAAAGTGGCCGCCATTTATGAAGATCCGGAGGGTGAACAGAATTACACAGCCGAAGCTATGAAGTTTTTCAATGACTGGCTAGATAAAAGCGTACCGTGAGTAACTCTTTCTCTCGTAGTATAATAAAATTACAACGTAAACCAGCGGATGTGCTCATTTTATTTAACGACGTAATATGCTCTACTTGCCATCGGCAAAACTAGTGTAGTGTGTCCCAAAAAATTGTAATACACCGTCGATCATGCGAGAAAACATTTTAAAACCTTCTTTCTCTCACTTTCGGAACCACAACGCGAGGAAGTTTATGACGTCGCTCTCGCAAGAAATATGTATAGAAACCATATCACACATGTATGGAGTTTAATTTATGGGTCAGCTGACTATCCCGTTTTCATTAGCTTATTGGTTGGGCTTCTAACCAAGGGATTATAAGCACTTTTTAATCTCTTGTGGTCACCAATTAATATGAAGACCCTTGGTTCCATTCAAGCCAGCGCAATTGGCGGTTTTTTGGGCGCTCAGTGAAAATGTAGGTAGTCGAGCCGCCGAGAACAACAGAAGAGCTTTATATTTTCATGTTCCAGACATCTCGTGACTTCGGCTTTCATCAGATTCTGCTTACACTATACAAAGAAACACATACACAAGTGTAGATACAGGGGCCTGTAGGTCAGCACGAACTTCGAACCCAGTCTATTGCACAACTTCCCAAAGAAACCCACACCCACGCACAGTATAACTCTAACACAAACCACAAAAATTACAAACAAAGTTTGGGTATCAGAGAAATGGTGCTGACCTAGACTGATTCAAATTCGTAACGCACAGCACTATAGATCACAATTAACTACCCATAACTCCACCAAAACAGACCCAGTCCTTTGACCCGTGCCAGCAAAATAGCTGTTTCTGCCTGTTCCGCGATGTTCCGCTGCTAGAAATACCATTTTTCGCGGCTCCAACGCTCAACCCTTCAAAGCAAACTCGAAACCGCTGCCTACTCAGATTACTTGGACACTCGTGACACATGAACCGAACATCTTTCTATTCCACTTTACTTTTTCTATAGGATTTCGCCGAATGTGCGTGACGCCATCTACGCGATTGGATTAAGAGAGGCAAATGACTCTACGTGGACAAAAGTTTTCAATAAATACCAAGCTGAAACAGTTCCATCGGAAAAGAGAAAGTTAATGTACGCGCTCACAAGCAGTCGACATGAAGACATTTTGAAAAGGTAAGAAGTGGAAATACCTCAATGTGAATTTGTATACTGAGAATTTCGAAATTAAAACCCTCTTCCTAATTTTCATTGATTGCCTTTTTTCATCGTTTTTTGTTTCTTTGTTGTTTGCTCGTTTGTTTGTTTGTCTTTTTTTTTTTTTCAATGGCGGCTAATTCGAAGTGGGCGCGCTTAAGAGATCTGAAACTAGCTGTGCGAGGGTCTGAAACTATCAGAGAATTTTAATAAAATGTGAGGTTAGCGACGACAATGGCGAAGACGGTGATGATTCTGATGACAACTTCAAAGATATTACTGCAGGCAGCTGTTGATTTTCATGAGCTAATTACTTTTCTTTATTTCAGATTGTTGACGTATTCATTGGATGAAACTAAGATTCGTTCTCAGGACTCCGTGTCTGTCATAGATTCAATAGCCCGCAATCCTCAGGGGAGTTTATTGGCGTGGCAGTTTGTACAAGATAATTACTATGAATTGTATCAAAGGTAAAAGATTTCCTTGAATCGCAACTATAAATAACAGCTTTGACAACAATTTTCTTACACGTCTTAGACCTCACTTTGATTAATAAGGTTAAGTTAGGTAAGTGAAGATCGTTCGAACAAATAGTTCCCTAATCTGAGTAAGCTCAAGTCTCTCCGCTCAAGAAATATTTGTGGGGGGGGAGAAGACGATGAAAAGAACTTCATGTGTGTGTCAGTGCACACGCACACACACACACACACACACACACACACACACACATATACAAATCAAAGCCAAGATTCCAGACCGACGAAGTCGACAATAACTTTTTAGGTAAATCACAAAGTGAGCTCGAGTTTTACCACTGTGTGCGAGCTGCATTCGAGCTGTTCACCGACAAAGATGTTTCAAAAAATTGTTTAAACAACAAACATATGAAATACATATATATGAACTGCGGTTATGAAACGTATATGTGCACGATCCTTCGCAGTAAATTTATCGTTAGCGCCCCTTTCGGTTGGATCTGGACAGTGTCTGTATTTGGATCTGGACAATGTTCTTTTTATTTTCCCAGATTGCTTTGTAGTGCATGTAGTTTTCTTAGTTATTTTCCCCAAAAATGGCGCCGAGGAAAGGGTTTTCGACCTTCTCTCGCGTCGTCAGAGATGCTTTAAGCGAGCATAATTACTGGTATGTGCTCACAACAGAATTTTGTGGAATTACTCCTCTGCAATATTTTAAGCGATCGCCGATCCTGACAACTTTTCCAGAAGATTTCTGCCGAATTGAAAGCGACAAACTTCGGCTTCTCGATGGGCGCCCCTTCGTCAACAAGAAAAATTCCAGCGCATTTGAAGTTGTTTGCTCGTCTTTTGGGCTTGTATCGGTTATTCTGAGGGAAAAAAGAGGTTCTGAAGAAGGAGGATCCGCCGCGATTTATAAAGTTAAAGAATTTTTGAATGGCTTGGATTTGAGTTCCCTCAAGGGAGACGGCAACGACTTGAATTGCGAGCGACCACGTGCAGCTCGGCGCCTTACAATGACCCCTCAATTCAACACTCCGCCTAGCTAGTACGAAAGAAATGCCTGTCTCGGTTCATTTGACTCCTCCAAACAGTGGCAGTCTTAGTTCTCCTAATCTAAAGGAGATTT